TCTCACAGCCAATGGTTTTGCTCGGTGCGGCACCAGAAACAGCCCGAGCAGACAGCGAGTGTTGGCACACCTGATGCAGACAGCGAGTGTTGGCACACCTGATGCAGACAGCGAGTGTTGGCACACCTGGTATACAGATCTGAGCTGATGAGTCAGATCTTGACTGATTGACGCGAGTTGGCGGGGCCCTTTGTGCGTCGTCGTTTGAATTTGACGCTGACGGCCACTTCCCCAGGGGCATCACTTATGTGCACTCTACATGTCAAGGATTGATGGTCTATGATGGACCCGGTGGTCGGGCAGAGGGATACATTCGGCATGCTTGCAGTGGTTGAATTGAAGGGACAGCTAGCGTAGTTCTTAGTTTGCATTCTTGATGGACTCCTCGTGCCGATGCGCTTTCCATTAATCTCGTGCAACGGAAGAGTCTGCCTCGCCCAAGGTTCCCGAGTCCCGAACAATCCTCTTCTCCTCTGCATGCTGACTGCCGTAGATCTCCACTCATACCGATCATGGCCAACGGAGACATAATATGGTGAGTGTGGTGAGTGGAGGCAGTCAGTGGTGTTGCTGCAGGGTGATCGGAAAGGGGTATCTGAATCATTGATGAGGATCGTGACTGATTGATTCGATCCTCATAAAGAAACGCTTCGCTAGATCCTCATAAAGAAACGCTTCGCTAGGAAAGGGAGGGAAGCGTACATCTTCCCTTGTCCTCGCTGTGCCTCTTCTTTGGTTTCACGGTGGCACCAAACGCCCTGTAAACGGAATGATCAGGGGTGCTTCGGAAGCACCCAGGGGTGCTTCGGAAGCACCCCTCCGACAAACCCTAGGAACCCTAGACAGGGCGAAGAGGAGAGAATCACCCTTTATTTAATCACCCTTTATTTATTTAATCACCCTTTCACCTCATCGCCAATTGCCGACATTCAGTGTGCAGCAGTTGTTTTATTCGTTTTTCATCTTTTCGACCTCCCTGTGTTGATTCCCATCATCAGCACAGGCAGATTCCAGACCAGTTGTTGTAAGGAGGAGTGTGTTCGTGCGTTCGTTCGTCGTTCGTCGTCCAATCGTTCGTTCATTCGTTTGTTGTGCCCGTCTGCGGGACAGACACTCAGTCGTTGATAAGAGCAGTTCCCCGTGTGAATGAACAGAGGTACCTTGAGCCTTCAGTAACAGAAACCTTCACACACCCAATCAAACACCCACTCTCACTTACCAGCAACACTTCATCCAGCAGCCTCGAGCTTTGTGCTATTACTCATAGTACATCGGACACAGACACCGCAGGACAGAACAAGGCGGTAACAGTGTCCACCATCGAAAATGAAATCTAATGTTCGCTTAGGAACCCGAGAATGAATAGAAGTTGAGCGTATGTAAGAAAAACCAAAGAATGTTTGATGATAATCCGAAAACTGGCAGGTCATTGCCCTGCGCCGTCTTCCCCTGTCGGTCCTGCTTGCGACCTTCTTGCTGCTGCATGCGGGGGGACACGACTCCGCCCAACTGTGGCGAGGGGATTCATGTGTTTGCTGCCTGCACTCATGGCCTGCAGGGCTCTGCGCGCGTCTGCCAGCTTCGGGCTGGTATGGGTGAGAAGATTGACAACCAAGGCTTTTGCGTCACTTAGCTAGCGAAGCTGGGGTGATGAGGCGGGCATGTGCGGGTAACCAGCGTCACTGCCAACTACAAAAGGTAGGACCAGGAGGTGCGCCTGGAACACATATCTGTTCAGGGCATTACGTTTCACGTTTACGTCGGGAATGTCCGATTCGCAACAGCCCGAGAACCGTTGTCGTCCATCCAGGGTACACTGGGTGACCCTTTCGCTTGCCAGTGTGAGTCTTGTACTTATCGGCTATAATTCACAGCGCCTGCTGACAGTGTCCCCGAGCGATGTGAGTGATGGCGCCAGGACTGCTTTGCCAGGGTGTGCAGCGGCTGGCATTCAGGTGCCAGGCCTCAGAGAGTCACTGTCTAACACTTCTTGGAAGCCTACCCCCCTTGGGAGAATTGCCATCTGTACGTATTCGTCTGGAAAGGAGTTGAATTTCGGAGATGACATTGGTTTACCCCTTGTGGAACGTATGCTTGGTCGGCGCTTTCAACTGCCATGGATCAATCTAGCAGCTCGGCGCAACGGCCTGCAGCACTGCCTTCTACCAATCGGATCAGTGCTGCATTTTGCCAGAGCAGGCGACTACGGCTGGTCGATCGGAATGCTTGGCGAGCAAAAGCTCCGTCGAAAGCTGCCAAACAATCTGACTTTACACGCTATCCGAGGTCCTGAAACCCGAAGGTATTTGATACAGAATGGATATGGTGATGTGGAGGGTCTGCCACCGGTGTATGGCGATGCAGGCATGCTCGTGCCTTGCCTCTTTCCAGAGTTCAAACCTCACTGGCCGCCCAAACACGACACTTGTTTTGTACCGCAACTCAGAGAAATTCGGCAGGGCCTCAACCAATCCAAGTACGCAGGGCACGTAATCAAGCCGACCCAAGACTGGAAAGTCGTGTTAAGCGAGATAATTGAATGCGCGTTTGTTATAAGCTCTTCGCTACATGGTGTCATCATTGCTGAAGCATACGGGATTCCAACGCGACTCATGCTGGAGAGAAGCTCTGAAGAACGTCTGCATAAATACAAGGATTATTACTCGAGCACCAAACGAGCGTTGCAGCTAGCCGCGTCGTATCAAGAAGCTTTAACATTGGGACCGATGCCTCCAGTTGTCGATTTTGACTATCGGGCGCTCTTCGACGCTTTCCCATGGCACTTGTTTCCTGCGATGATTTGACATGTTCCATATGCATCAGATTATCGAGAATCCCGTCTCGACTTTTGCGTGCAAGAACGCAGAAGTGCCCATCTATGTTGTGAGTGATGATAAAATTCTCGAGCCGCTCTTGCTGTTCTCGCTGCTAGCTAACGATGCAGGAAACCCCAAAGGTGCACATTTAGTGGTGTCTAGTGGTAGCGTGTGACTGCTTTGAGTTTGAACAACGGATACTACACAGGCCTCCAGAGGGCCTGAGTGGCCACACTGGAGTATGAAACAGCTTTATCAAGCGTCAGCACATACTCGCCTGTGCCGAATTCGTAACGTGACGCTGCCGAACCACCGATAGCGAGTGTACTTTGACCCGAACGACCGACCGGCGCACGACCAACGCACACACAGACCGATAGACTGACCGATTGCGGACAGCCCGATAGTGTTTGTTCCGTGTTGACTGACGGGTTGAGGGAAGACACAGTGGGTTTTGTGTGTGAATGGATGCGTTGTCAGTCGTTGATGTAGACCACCGACATTGGGTCTAATCAGCACAGACATGAATGGTCCCGACACCGCCATGTATAGACAGACAAACGGTTTCAACACCGACATGCCCCCCCTTCTCCCCCACCCACCGCCAACCGTCATGTACACGAATGCGCCCGTCCCTGCCCTCATTCCCATCCCCGAGACCGCCCCGCTGCATGATACCCAGCCACGCTCATTTGTGCCGTCCCCCTTTTCCCTCCAGCTAGGCACGAATGGCTCTCCACCGCACTCGACTCGGTCGCTCCCGGCTGACTGTGCCGATGCAGCGAGCCCCGCGTCGCACCAATCTCGCTATTCAGCGTATGCCGTCATGGGAGGGGATGAAGCCGAGCAGCAGCCGCTCAGGGACCCTTCTTTCACTCGCCGCCATGGGCTTGAGGGAGTGCCGTCGGATGGTCTGTATGGTTTTGCGCACTTCACGCTCCAGGACTACAAGCGTGCCGTCCGCCGCCTCCACCGTAGTGCACCGCCTCCGCTGTCCGCGTCTTTCGCGAGCATGAGCCGTCAGTTTGAGCGGGTGGGGGGCGCGCAGGGCGCAGAAGAGCCGTCAAGCCGCCAGGGTGCCGTCAGTGGGACACATCAGCAGCCGCCCGTAGACCAGCAGCAGACGCATCATGGCACCGAGCATCAGTCGCAGACGACCGTCATGCCTGCACACAATCAGCCAACCACACCATACATGCAGGCAGGTCACTCACTCTCTCACTCAGATGCGTACGTACCGATGGAAGCCGCCCAGCAGCCAGTGTATCCATGCCCCAATGTCACCGCCCAGTCATGCACTCATGTGGTGCCATCGCCGTCCCCAGTGCAGAATGTCGACCAGTCTAGTGGGCAGCCGAATGGGCCACATGGACCGCCACAGCAACCACATCCGAGCCACGTGTCGTTTGCGCCGCCAGGAAGCAATCAGCAGCCGACGTATCAGACCCAAGCACCGACATTTGGCTGCGTGTCGTCGTTGAGCTTCCCGATGGCGTCCTTCGGATGTACATCTGTGCCGCCACACTCGCAACCGACGTATCCGTGCCCCCCTGGCTTCCAGTCAGTCCCGATAGCCGCCCATACCGACGGAGTGCAGTCAGCCCCATCATCGACTCCACCACCTGCCTCGGCCAATGTACCCCAGTCAGCCGCCGCGCCATTCGGTGCAGGTCCGCCCGTGTTCTCCTTCGCCAGACACGGTGGAGGAGGTCGACCGAGTGGGCCACCAGGAGGGCCCGGTGGGCCGCATGACGAACCGCCGAGCCGACGGGGAGGCGGGTATGGCCGACGCAATCGCCCTCCCAGACGTCGACGTTATCGAGATGACGACGACTTCGATTATTTTAGCGATGACGAGCGTCAGGTTCTCCGTCGAATGAGGATATCCATGTTAAGTGGTGACGATGGCGAGACGGCCAAAAGCTGGATGCGCCTCTTTGAGCCGTGGCTGGACTCCGTGAGAGTTAGCGATTCCTCCCGCCCGACCGTCTTCCGTGGCCACCTGAAGCCAGGCAGCACAGCACATCAATGGTGGTCTGGGTTGAGTGATTCCGACCAGGAGAGTTGGTCTACCGTCAAGCAGAAGTTTGTCCAGCGCTTCACACCGACAGAAGCAGAGGAACTCGCTTGGTTCGTGAGTGCCCGATGCGCCCGAGCGAACCACCGGCCGAGTACCTGAAGCGCCTGAACCGAACGATGAGCCAGCTCAGTGGCCTGACTGACCGGGAAAAGTTGAATGCTCTCACGACCGGCCTTACCGGTGACTGTCACAGAGCAGTCTCGACCTACATAGAAACAGCCAGGACCGCCTTGGGCAGACGACCGACGTACGAGGAGGTCGAGCGTTTCGTCAGAGGCATGTCTGCCGACGGGTCGAGGCAGGGAGTGCGTCGCTCCAGCCGCCGTATTCACAGCCGCCGTGCCAACAACCGCCGAAGCAGCTTATACTCTGACGTGTCTGCTTCTGCCGATGACGATGCCGCGTCAGCCGCGTCGAGTGAGGTGTCTGACCAGTCAGAACCACCAGACAAACAGCCAGATGAAGGCAGGAATGCCCCCGATTCATTCATATTGTGTTGCGTGTAATCCGACCCACCGTCATGGACGAAGTGATGATCCGTCGTAGATGTGATCGGTCCTTCATGAGAAGGAGAAGTGAGGCATGAATCTGCAAAGCAACAGAGCCTCTCAGTAGTCGTCTTTGTATGTGTTTGTGCCCGAGCATCTATCTGCCCATCTACCCACCTGTGTGCCTTTTTGCTGCGTGGCCAGCCAGCTTGGTGAAGGTAGGAGAGGAAGAAGGGTAGATGCATTGGGAAGGTCATCGATGATCTGACGCTTCTTCACGCCACCTCGCCTCGGTGATGAAGGCGTGTCCTGCTGGGATGCTGCTCGCCGCCGGCAGCATTGCCCCACCCAGCATCTATAGATCATCTCCTCCTGGTGCATGTGCCTGCCTTCCTTCCCTTCTGACTGCCGAGTTGATTGCGCGCTTAGCCTCCGTATGATGCGTTACACAGCCATTCGTCGATTTTGTTGGCTCTCAGCCGCCATGCCGCTCTCTGACGAAGCAACTGTCAGGATTGCCAGCTTGGCAGCTAGGGTAGATTGCTGTGTAACGGAGAGAGACCATCACCGAAGTGAGATCTGTGTTGACCACCCTTCATGATGCCATACATGGACAGAAACAACTAAACCCCTCAAAAAAATCAAAGGAGCAATGAGTAATTCTAAAGATCTCCCTTGACGAGTGAGACAGCGAGATGAAACAACACTACTTACCCCCCATGATTGAGTTGGTGATTTCTCGGCTGTTTCTCCTCCTTTTCGGATGAGCGAGCGTGTATCGGACTACACCCAACCCCCTCCACCT